TCGCTGAAGCCGGCGCGGTACTTCCCCAACACACTCGGGTCTGTGCTGAGCGCGGCTGCAGGCCAGAAGGAGACAGGACAGGTCACCAAACAGCCCTGGCTCCGGGGCCACTGCCTCCCGCCCTGGGAGGTCCCCGCTGAGAGCCTCCGGAACCATCTGGGGTTGGGAGGGTGGGGTAGGCTAAGAACAGCCAGCTCCTTCTCTCTAGGTTGGCGACATAAGCCAGGACACTCCCTCCATTTAAACCGATCTCAGCTCCAGATCTGCCACCTCTAGCCCCGCGCGCTACGTGACCTTGGGCAATGCCACCCAAGGCGCTTTCCAAGTCCCACTTCCCCTCCTGCGGCAGCGGTTGGACGGGTGCTAAACCAGTGACCCCTAGCTTCTATCCAGCCCCAAACCGCCTCAGTCCTAAGTGCTCTCGCCCTCCCCAGCTTCCACCACAGCCAAGCCGCCCACCACCCTCTCGGCTACAACCTCTCCCTCCCTTTCCGGAGCAGTAACAACTTGGGAGTTGTGGCTATAAATAAGACCCAGACCGTGGGAACGCGGAGTGAGCCAAGGCAGTAAAATGTAGCTGAATGCCTCTCACAACCGCGGGCGGAAGTCTGGAAGAAATCACCGCGGGCCGAAAGGGACACCCGCAGAGAGGGGACGCACGCGCGGTCCTCACCGGTCATCTGCGCCCGCTGCAGGTTCCGGAGGTGCTTCACTGTCATCTCCAGAATGTCTGCCTTCTCCAGCTTGGAATGCCGGGAGCTCTACGCAGAGGAAACAAGGGAAGAAAGTGAGACCCCCCCTTGTCAACTGCCTCTTGTTCTGAAGGTCCCCAACCCCGCCCGCATGTCCCACATCCCAGGGCCCTGTGGGAGAGGCCCGAACCTCCCTCCCGCCTAGGGGAAGGCAGTGCTGGCGGGGTAAGATCCTCACACAGCAGGGGAAGAGTCAGGTTCTTTGTGCCTGAGAAATACCACTGCATTCGTAATAATAATGATAATAATAATAATAATAATAATAATAATAATAATAATATGCATTGCTCACTTACATCTTTCTTAAGTGCATCCAAAATCAGTGTTTTCAGCTGGCTCAGACTTTCGTTTATTCTTGCCCTTCGTCTCTTCTCCATGATAGGCTTTGATGACTGCAAAGGAAAAAAAAAAAAAAAACCGGGGGTGAGGGTTGAGCTCCCATGGGATCTGCCATTTCACCCCGAGGTTTTAAGAGGGAAAAGTACGAGGAGCCCCTCCGCGCATAGCCTACGTAATAGCTTCAGAGAGACGCAGGTACTGTCTTACCTTTCTGTGCTCAGAGGCGGTCTTTGGTTTGTCCGGTGTCGTGTTGACACTGGCTGGGGTAGCAGCCACCGGGGACGAGGAATTTTTCTCCATTATATCAGCTGGCATTTTCTTTCTCTTTTTCTTTCTTCTCAATCCCCAGAGAATTTTATTTTTGGAATCCTTCACGCAAAAAATATTTTTTTGCTTATGCCCCTTTTACTTGACTTTCATAAGAAAAACTACTGAGCAGCTGAGGGTTTAGTATGTCTTAGGGCTACTTAGTGATCGGTAGCGCTATTCCAGGACCAAGGAGAGAGGTAGACGGGGGATTCCGCTGTTATCAGCACCAGCTCCAGATCCTGTGTGATCCGCAGGCCCTGGCGGCCTCTATATATATCTGGGACTGCACGCGAACGGCTCGTGTGAAACTTCCCAAACTTTCTTTCCCACAGTAACTTTCAGCCAATGGGAGGAAGAGACACGCGGCACCGCTCGTGGACTGCGCCCCCCCATTGGTGGCGGCCAATGGCGCGCGCCTGAGCCCGGGGCACCGGAGGCTACAACGTCAATCAAAAGGATTTTAACCCTTTGCTGACTCCTCTGGGCTTTGCTTTAGAAAGGACTTTTCCGCCATGGCTTTGGTATAGTCTATTTCTTTTGTGGCCAGGTCTTTGGATTTTTATTGTCTTTGCCACGTGCAATATAACTACTTTGTATAGTAAGTTCATTTGAAAAACATTTTGAGAAAATATAGGAAAAGACATAATTTAGTGATTTAAAAACCAGGGAACTCGCGCAAGGGTGTGTTACTCTAACGTCCAAAGTGAATTCTCTAATTCTGTATGCTCAGGGGAGTGAAAACTGCTCATGCAGGGGGGGAAAGCAATACCCAAACCCCCAAACTAATCACTCCCTCACCACCACCACCCCAAAAGAGAAGTGCCTTCACAGGCAGGTTTTTTGGAGCAAGATGGCTTTTGGATGTCTGCCCCTTCCCCGCCCCCCAGCTTGCTTCTCATTCCTCTCCTGGGAATGGGGCATTGGACCTCACGCTTCTCCAGGAAACAATCAGAATAATTTCCTACTGGGCAGAAAGGAAATGGAATTTCAAATGAAAAATGAACAAGAGGGGCTTTGATAGCAATGCCACAAGGGCGCGCGCTCCTTCGCCACTCTATACCTTTCTCCCCCGCAGGCTCTCGGTTGGCAGT